AGGCAAGGGGCCTGGGAATGGTATCGTTTCCAGATGAGCATGTATTTTCGTTTTCTCTGTGCTTCCCGGACGAACTACAGAAATTAGTAGCAGGAGAAGTCGTTCCCACTAAACGGGGCATGCTTAGAGTAACGATGAGCATCTATGACCCTCTACACGGCGAATGAGAACAACCCAAATTTGAGTTTAGTTCACTCATAATCGCCAAAAGTGCAGGAACTCAGTGATGAGTAAAATTTGTCCCATGGTTTCCTGTGGAAAACCTAAAAAATTTGCCGGAAAATGAGGAAATTGACGAAAATTTTATTCAGTCTCGGAGTAGTACCAATTGACTGAGTGAATCCAATCTTTTTTTTTTCTCAAATTCGGGAATTTTTCCTTGGAAAATCCTGGAAAAACCTGGGAAAATATGAGGCAAATTAACTCATCGCTGAGTTCCTGCACTTTTGGCGATTATGAGTGAACTAAACTCAAATTTGAGTCGTTCTCATTCGCCGTGTAGGCATCGTGGCAGCCTTTGTTATTCATGGAAACGTTCTTGTACAGGATGTCTGGAGGTCCAAGATAGAGTGGGATGATAAAGTTCCCTGGGAGATTTACTGTCGTTGGAAACAGTGGCTTGCTGTACTCTGGAAGATGAACACTATCAAAGGCAATCGTTGCTATTTCGCAGATTATAGTTCCAATTGCTACAGATCTCTGGAGCTCCACATTTTCGTCGATACTAGTGAGCAAGCCTACGCAGCAGTTGTTGACAACGATCATGTTAGATTTTCCTTGGTATCCTCAAAAACGAAGGTTGCACCACTTCAATCTTTATCTATCGTTGGGAGAAGCATTCGTTAAAGATTCAACGTACCTGTTTTTGGAGTGATACATCGACAGTCAACGCCTGGATTAAGTCATACGCACGCCACTACCGGCAATTCGTTGCATTTCGGATCAACGAGATTCTCAGCTTATCGTCGGTAGAAGAATGGCGGTGGATACCAACGAAGCTCAACGTGGCCGATGAAGCCACAAAGTGGGGGAAGGATATGTTGCTTTATGTAGGCGTGCCTTGAATACCAAGAAATCATCGAGAAAAGTCATTGTTTACAAAGGCTGTTACGCCCTAATTGGAACTCCATGCCTCAGTGGTATAACTGGTATAGTTGACCATCGATCAATGGGCCTTATTACGATGAAAACGAAGTGAAATGACCACTTGTAAATCAAATGGGAATCACTTCACCGTGCGTGATAAGTTGTCACTTCACCGTGAAGTGAAATCGGTAATAAGGGCCAATAACGGCGTTCACAAGGACCAATGTCGAAAACGTAAACAATGGCTTCTTTCATAAATTTCTCGTAGTTCAACGTAAATCCATGTAAGCCACCAATTCCATCGGATAGGGGGACTCTCTCTCTACACAATCATCCTGGTGGTTTACTTGAGTGGTTTTTCATTGTTGAGAAATTCTCGGAAAAAGTAATTTTTTACGTTTGCGACATTCGCTCTTATGAAAGAGAAGCAGATACATATGGTTGCATGCTCAGTAATCATTAACGTTGACGACGACTCTGCAACTAGCGGCGCCGGTGGTGTAGTGGTAAGCGTGATTGCCTCTCACCCCAAAAGGCCTGGGTTCAATCGCAGTCGGCGCCGCCGGGATTTTCTGAGGCATAAAATGTCTGGATCACGCCTTCCTTCGGAAGGGAAGTACAGCCGTTGGTCCCCGGTTCATTAGTTTAAGTTGAGGGGTCAAAGCTCTGCCTCCCTGGCGTCGGTAGCATTGGTACTCTGCAACTCTTTACTCCTATGGCGAAATCCCAGCTTAAGAATAAAGAGTTACAGAGTGGCCGAAAAGTCAATTTGTAAATTGTCAAGGTAATGCGGCCATTCTTTTTTCAACTAGCTCTGCAGAGGGCTTATCAAAGAATTTTTTAGCTATTATTTTCAAGTCGGTCAGAAGTCAATCAAGAGCGTTATTAACCAGTAATTTTGCCTATTTCGTCTCTTCGACCTGGGTGAAATAGATTGGTTTTATTAGGGAAGTTAAGGTGATACTCTAAGGAAGCCTTAGAGTGAAACTTTAAAGTCACAAATGTAGGCTGCAGCTAGCTGCTTGCAGGCAGTCTTGCGTACACGTGCACTGGAGAACATCGCCACTCACCTCGCGGTTATTGAATAAACACCGTTTGGTGAAACCGGATGGAATTCCACTTTGAAATCTGTGTTAGGGAAATCGCTTTTCGCAGGCAATCGGTGATTATATTAACTGTCATAGCAACAGTTGCATGCGTGCAATTTTCAATAGTGACATTTTGAAAAATGATAAAGTCTTAACTTACGCAGATGCGTAGGAATATTTCTGATCGATTGGTGATAAAATTAATGAGATTGGTCAAGGGGCAGCTGAGTTATTCACAAATTGTACCCCCACAAAGAAATCACAGACGTAGTCCTACGTCAAAAGGGGACATTTTTCGTTGATATTTTATGCAATGACCTGCAACCCAACGATTAATCCTGAAATGTCATTGTAGGCTACCATATGGTTTACAGCCCAATTTTGAAAGCGATACGTATTGTTTTTCTGCAAAAAGTGGGGAAACTCTACGCAAATACTTGTTTAATTTTTCTAATTCTAAATTTGCGCGTGTATATTTTTCATCAATTTTCTTTCTGTAAACTTAGATGAAGAATGCACGTACTGTTTTTTGATAAACTTTTTCTAATTGTTTGAAGCCAATTGCACCAACATTTGATTTCATTTGGATTCGTAGATGGAAAAGTACGACCGCTCAAATTAGGAGTTAACTGCATACATTTTGAAGTCCAGAGAGATGCAGCAACATTTTGCTACAGGTGACCCGGTTTATGTGGAAAACCATGCAGTATTTTGAGGTGACCATCGTTCTATTCACAAAAATTTTGCAAGCAGGATGGTAAATCAAATCCAGCGCTTCGATACTTGTTATAATGAATCAACCATCGATATAATTCTCAACTGCGGCCAATTGAAAAAAAAAATCAAATTGTTTACATTCAATTATCTTAAGAAGTCATAGAATAATAAACCAAGGTATGGGGTAGAGCACTACTTCATCGTAATCGCCCATTTCCGTTCTATCGATCAGAAAAGATCGAAAATATCAATGATTTCACCGTGCACAAATCAATCATAGGTTTGTTCCGATGCGTTAGCTCATTAGCTACAACATAACTCCTATTAGAGTGCATTGTATGAATATTTACGCTCATTGCTCTCAAAACAAAAGAAGCGCTCCTAGCAAATCCCCCTTTTCTACGTGTATCCGTAGGACGAAGAAAATCTAATGGCGTTTCAATGCGTTAGGGTGGAATTAAAACTCGTAGGACGAATTTAGAATCAAGAAGCAGTATTAGTTTTTAAACAATATCTCAACAATTTGTGACTCTTTATCAAATCCAACGGTACGTATGGAAAGGTGAATACATTTAGAAATCATCTAAAAAAACGAGAGGTAAAGCGCGGGTTGTGCTTAGTAGGAGGAAAATTTGAACAAAAACCCTAATCATTTTAAAAGAATTGACTACCCCTTGAATCCCTTTTTCATTTTACAGCTGGTATAATCAAATTGAAAGTCTTTCTATACCACTTGAAATCACTGAAATGGGGTCGATTTTTTATGATCGAGTTCCACATGTGTTTGGTGCTCATATGCAGAGTTGATGGCTGCATTTAGTTGGTTGCATAAGTTATTAAAGTTTTGTAAATTGGTTTTAGTGTTTTCTTTTTCATATTAGTTAGTGAGCTTTCTGTTCTGTGTTGTTTAAAAACCTGCTATAAATTAAATCAAAAGTGTTTGGGATTTTCACAAAAAATGTAATATAAACATGCGGACTATTGTCAACTGTTTATGGCACTGAAATTCTTCAAGGAATTGTGTGATTATTATTATTACTTACACTTATTTGCTACTGCTACTATTGCCAAGGAAAAGGACATTGGAAAGGAAGTTGTTTTCAATTCTCCTCACAGGTCCTGTGGATTTTTTTTTGCAAAATTCGCTAGAAAAATCATTGAAGTTACAGACTTTTGAAAAAGATAATTAAAATTCTAAGATGTTTCAAAATATTCCAAAGACCAGAATCTTCTATTAGATTTTAAAATGCGTTTCTTGGATTTTTCAAAGTTCGACACCTTTGCTCATAACCACCCATTAACGATCCCAAATTTGCTTAGGTTGAAAAAACAAAAAGTATTGCAAAACTTCTTGTTTTTACAACCTAAGCAAATTTGGAGGTTCGGAGATCTTGGAAATTTTAAGTCGGTCTGATCGTCCGTGTACATAACTCGAAGTAAGTATTCATTTGTAAGACTTGTTTCCAAATTCTTAAAGCTTTAATGGTTGAAATCAAAAAAGATCGCAATCGTTCAAATCAACATTCAAAGCTAACCACAACTTAAACGATATTGGTTTCAATAAATCCTACTAAAAATTGCAACATTTTGCCAAACAAAGCACTCGTTTAGCAAACAATTACCCTTACCTCATATCATACACACACACTCACAGTCACACCTGTTGCTGCTGCAATCGATTACATAAATAAGCCACCAACTGGTTTCACTTCACGGTCAATCTCCGTCCAAATGATGGAAATTTGCTATCAGTTCGGTTGCTGCTGCTGCAAGCTGGTCAAATTCGGACTGCAACCAAAGGTCAACCCGTAAAAGCCCCATTCGTTTCAGCGACCAACCTCCCGAAAACAGGCTCGAACTGCTGCTGGCGTTAACGTAGATCAAATCCCATATTCAACATATATAATAACGTATGTTACGATCGAATGTTCACCGAAACAAAAAAAAAAAAAAAAAATCCTCCGCCAGCAACAGCAGTCAGAAAGTGGGAATAACATAAATCGACTTCCAGTTTGGATCGTTTGGATGAAGAAAAAAAAAGCGTGTTAGCAATGACGACGTCTGTTTAGGATAGGATTCCGCCTCTATATGCATGTTGAATGCTCTTACCTTGCACCGACGATCACTTGATCACGCGCCACATCGAACAGCAGCCGGGAGAATGACGTAACGTTGGCATCCGTAAAGCGGTCGGACGTTGGCAGCAAATCTGTCGGAATGGGAGAAGAAAGTGGAAGGATTCGGCATCAGTACAAAAGAGCTCGATTTGATGGATGAAAGTAAATGGAATTCGATTCGTTATTAAGCCATCAAGCGGTTTCGGATGAATGGGCATTGTGCGCTCGTTTGCTGATTCACAACCGCAATTGATCACTTATTGATCGAACTGTGCTGCGATCTCTGCCGAAAGCTGAAAATATACAGATTTACGACTCATCGCAAAATCCTTAGGAATCCGAAATCACCAAAACGGGTAGAGGGTGACACCTAAGACAGCGACCGATCCGCCCAAGGCTCGTCGAATGTAGACCTGAGCTGATGATGATTTGCAATGTAAATTTTTGTCACCAGAGCAGCAGGTAGGTACATATGATGGGCCTTGCTCGAAAAGGTTTGGCGTCTGAATGTCGATGTTGATGTCGTTGTCGTCGTCGTCGTCGCCGAGTCGCCGTCCATAGTCTCCTTATTTGCGTAATAAATTAAGACGGAACATTTTTTTCACGCCTTCTTGCCGGCCACGGCGTTGTCTTTGGTGCTGATGCGCACGCGTCATGGATGGCTTAATTTTTTGCGCGACTTATAAGTTGATTGGTTAGCTCGATTCTAGGAAATTGAAATTACTTTTCGGAAATATATTCGTGTCATGATTGAGGCTTTTGAAGTTTATGTATTTTAAATGTGAATTGAGTAATGAAGTGATTTCATGAGCTGTGTAACGAAATTTCGAAGTCTGAGAACCTCAGAAGCTAAGAAAATATGAATTCTGGTTGAAATAAGGATTGAATGATATTTGGTGACTCAATTAATGAAAATCCATCATAATGCTACTTCTCGAAATATGTTTTACTTTCCCCCTTTTTTTGGGAAAAAAAAATCCTTTAAATTGTGGCAATCTCTTAAACTGTCAAACAACCATATTTGTTATTATGTTCTTCAATTCGAATCGAATATATGTCCCTGCTGTCCCCGGAATGCTATTAAATTTCTCATCATAATAGTCATTTAGTCATCTGCACACAGAGACGCCTGGCGCTTCTGCTGACCTTCTTCCGTGCCAAGCTACCCGGATCGCTGGGGCTGCAATTTACAACTGCAAGCGGTAATAATTATTACCATAAACACAGCACACATACACTGCACCACAACAGATCCCATCCCAAAGCAGCAGTAGTCAGCACCGTGCAAATAAAGAGCGCTGCTAAACCAATCGTGGCGTCGTCGTTTTGCAAAAGCATTAATTAACTTATTTTGTTTCATCCACCACACTTGGTCTGTGTTCACAGATTGGAGTGAAATCTCCTGCTCTTACCAGTCTCAACGGGAACTGCTCTGCAGGCTGAGCGCCGCCGCCGTCACCACTGCATTGAATGTATGTATTATGCGATCACGTCCCGAACCGATCAACCAGCCAATAATCACTTCTTCAGGTGCCGGACAGCGGTCAGATGTGTACCTACCTGTACACCGTGCTGCGTGGTAACATGTGCTGGTTCGACAGGGCAGCAAAGTTGGTACGCATCCTTATACGGTCATCTTGGTCAGGGACATCTCGGTGCCCCACTGCCCAAGAGTCTGCCTACTTGCGGCAGGATGAAGTAGTGTACTTCAGTGCTGTTTACAAGTGCAACTAGACCTTCCAATCGGTAGGATTAGTTTTAACTCCTGTTCAAATAGATCTTCGGTTGAGACAGAAATGAATCCTTGCTTGCTCTAACTGAGCGTTTCTCAATCGATGACCATTGGTGGGTCATCAGATGGGTTGCAGGAACGAAGACAACATGGTCATACCCAGGGCTCTACATTTTTGAAGCTCTTTCTCTCATACACACGTGTTCAACGCTTCATTTCTATAACGCCTAGCTAGACTATCAGCAAGAAATGATAATGAAAAAGAAGCACGCTGGCTGTGGATCTTCTCGTCGTTGCTTTGCTCATCGCTTTTAATGTAAGTAATGTCGATTTTCTAGTTAAACTAAACCTCATTATGGCTTTCAATCCCCTTTCACGAACACTATCACCGCTCTTTCAATTTGTTTTAAATGCGTTATGTCAAGTTTTCGTTAATTTTTTTAGATAGATAGGTATGTGGATGGAAGATAAATTAAACATATTACGTGTAATCTTCAAGTGTTTTCACGTGAATAATGCTTTAAATGTGTAATTTCATTTTCCGTCATATACGTCATGAAACCTCTGTTGATGTGTTTCATGAAAGAGAAAACTATCAAAGTCGAGCGCTCTTTCGCTCATCCGTTTCACCGAAGCTTGAAAGGAAGACCAATGGAGCGACGGGAGAAAGAGAGACAAGCGATTGAACATTTGTTTGTGCACGCCGACTGAGGTTCTAGAATGCTGCGAAGCTGTTCGACAGAAAAAGAAAGCCAGCAGTCTCTTCGTCACATCGATTTGGTCGATTGAAACGATTGAAACTGATATTGTGACGCCCTGGTCATACCTTTTAGAAATTTTATGAACAAATGTCAGACTTTAAGGGCGTAACACAATGATAGCGGCAAAGCGGCGCAATTTTTTTCCAATACACTGCAATCCGTTTGACAACCTACAATGAGCGCGTTGAGGCAAAAGCGACATTCTACAAAAGCGCGTTTTTTGTCAACATTTTGGAAAAACGCGGTGCGGTTGAGCGCCAACCTGAGAAGTGCTCAATTCTTTCAGTTGTATTTTTTGTAATTTTGAATTAACCAGAACCTTCAAGGCGTGAACCAAATAAACAGCCACGATCGTAGTAAGTAGTTAGAAACATCCGGACATGTCCCGGGTACACCCGGGTAAGTGGTCTGAATCTTCTTGAACCAACACCTTCATATGGGACACATCAAACTAATATATTTTGGGAACTTTTGGAAAATAAAAATAAGTTCTAAAAAGTTTGGACATTTTAAGAAAATTTCCTTTAGCGTATTTCAAAGGAGATCAAAGAACTTCAAGAGCTGCGCCGGTGCACAGTGGTCTAAAAGTGCCAAAACGTTCTTTTTTTTGTTTATGCGAAAACTGTCCATTTAAGCCATATAGTGTCTTCGGAAAAGTTTGTGCAATTAAAAGCCCCTTCTTTTGAGCTTAGCCATTTAATGATTAATCCACCTAGCAGGGAGATGAAAAATTTACTTTTTTTGTTTGTCGAGATAGCAAAATGGTGTCTTGAGCAAAGTTTTAGACAATGCGGTTCCATATCATTAAAGCAACGAGTAATTTTCATCTTTTTTGATTTGCATGAAACCTTGCATACAAGTTTTTGGGGAAGAAAAACGCCGTTTTGCATACTTGGTTCGCCATTTTGAATCTAGCCTTACTTATGAGAAGGGCCTATGAAACATGCACATGATATCTTAAAAAAATTGTATCTCGGAAACGGTTTGTCTGATTGGTTTAGTGTCTTGGGCGAAGTTTTAGACAATTGTTGGTGTTATATGGAGAAAATATGCTCGGTAAAATAAAAAGTTTGGTATTTGTGTTTTGAACTAAAATATAAATTTTCCCTTTAAAGTGACATGCCAATAATTTTTTTATTATCCTTATGTTATAGCTGACTGAAAATGCTATCCAGTGCACAGTAGGTTGTTCTGGAGAAAAATAGGTTACGATGAAAAAAATTGTTTTTAAAAAAAATACAATTTTCAAAAAAGTTATTAAGAAAAGTCAAAAAAGTTTGTCACCCTAATTTTATGAAAGTACATCAAATTTGCTAACAAAAAGTACTTCGGTAACATTTTTCTAAGATGCACCGTTTAGAAGATATTACTGATTTAATATTGTTTTTTTTTTTGATAACTTAATAAGTTTTGGCCCTTTTCGGATGTACTCCGTGTTTTTCCAGTTTCAAAAGTATTTTTTTCGGAAAGATTGGAAAATTTTGAGTTAAAATGACACTGACAGCTTAAAGATTCGAGTGAAATTCTCTGCCTTAAAAGTATTTTGAAAAACAAGTTACAAAATCCCACTATCAGGAACAATGATTTCTTCAAGTGATTTTGGTGCGTTGTGCTGAAAATGTGCATTCAACTCTTGCATATCGCCTAACAGTTTAATCCATTTAAACTGGATGTGTTTATACTGTGCATATTTTCTCTCTATTGCCGAACATCGCCACAGACATCAAACCGATGAGACAACTCGATTTCGAGATACACCTTTTTGAGAACTGCAAATGTAAGCTCCTCAATTAGCAAGATTCAAAAGAGCGAATTAAGCTTATTTTTCAGGGATGGTGATTGTGCGCAATAAAAAATAACATTATATGTTGGATATCATCAGTTTATTTTTATTCCTGTATTTTTATAAAATTATTGTTTACACAACTTTCTTAACAATATTGAATATTTTGGCATCATTGTCAGGACAGTTTGAATAAAGCTTTGCCTTTATTGTATTTTCTGATAGAGGAAGAAATGAGTGGAATTTTAGAGTTCCTTGAATTGTTTTTGCATTATTATATTGATTATTTAGCTGCAAAGACATATTTTCGTATTCTTCTGTAGTAGAATAACAAAATGACAACTTTGTAAGTTCTTCTTCTTTTCGTTTGTTTGCCCAATTAAACAACTCTCTTGCAGTCTTTATCGAGTGTTCGCGTTCTTGGGCTAAACTTGCTCTGGTAGCCATGCGTTTTATCGTACCTCCAATAGCATCGCATGGACCTTTTCCGTGCGATGTTGCGAAGAAATGCCATTCAGCGTCAATACCATACTTTGACTTAAATTTACAAAGGCTAGAAAAGTTTTTTCGGTTTTTATACTGTGAAGCAGCACCATCTGACATAAAATAATTTTTTTTATGTTTTTATTTTGATCAATTTGTAAAAAGTTTATCATTTTATCAATAAACAAATTGACAGCGACTGAATCATGTCTTAGTTCTTCAGAAATTATAATGAAGCTAAAATGTTTAATTTGCATATTTTCAGTATAATATATTACGAAAGGATGGATTGTGGCCTGTTGCACGTTCCAATGGTGTGATTGAACTTTATCC